AAGCGGCGATGGTCAATGACCTTGACATTTCGTTCACTTAAACAAAATGCTACGTGCAACATGTCACGGGAAGGTACAAATTGATTAGACTGACTTCACATAAAAATGGCAACTTCGAAAACCCTATAGTTTCGGCGAACTCAATTTCGGCGTGTCATTAGCCAGCAGCGCGTGGTGTCTGGGCTCACGTTCGCAGGGTTGCATGCCCGCCGCGTTGTGCTCCCTGCAACAAGGCACTTAGTTGGACGTTTTGGTTTTCTGTGGAATCTTCATTGGTTGATTACTTCGAATCCGGTGTATCCGTGTTCGTCGTTTTATAAGATTTCCATCGTACGGTGAATACGGCCGTTGACTTGTCTGCTGAGCCGGGCAATTTGATTGCAAACGTGTCATCGCTAATTGTAGTATACGGTGCTTGTCAGTTTGACTGATTCATATGTAAGTATTGGGGATGTACAACCTTGTTTACTGGGCTCTGGCTCATGAGCTTTGTTTCTGTTTTCCATTCACAGATATTGTCGTGAACACCTGCCTTCGGAGAATCACTGTCCCCTGGTGCTTCCATAGCGTGCATATTACATAATTGGCGACCACGCCAGGATGGTTACCACACACAGAGTAGACCTACCACAGCGATCCTGGCTTAACATATGTGCATACAGACCTCAGAGCTAGCACGTTGTTCATTCACACACGGTAGACGCAGCCTCAGATACAGCAACCTCTGCACACGCTCACCAGCTTAACGCACCACACCACTAGCACCGGCCGGTTCACGTAGGCCATGGTACACCGGGGACGGTGTTCTTCAAAAAGGAGGCCGGTGTAGTATACGTTGTCTGTCAGTTTGATTGATTCATATGTAAGTATTGGTGATGTACAACCTTGTTTACTGGGCTGTGGCTCATGAGCTTTGTTTCTGTTTTCCATTCACAGAAATTGTCGTGAACACCTGGCTTCGGAGAATCACTGTCCCCTGGTGCTTCCATAGCGTGCATATTACACTAATCGAGCTGACATCATCAGTGGGTTAGGGCTGAAGCTACTAACACAACCTCGTAAACAATTCCTCGTTGGTTTGTCTCATGCAAGTTTGACCTCATTTGCAGCCGTACGGTTGTACATAGTCGCTGGATGGCACTTTAGGTACCACTGGTTTGTCGACAACACTCGCGGCGCGTGCATACGGAAACCGTGTGAGCCACCGGAGATTGCGCAATAAAACCGTTACATCTTGGGCAAATAGAGTATAACCTGAGCAAACAAAAACAATTACAGTTCACAAAAAGTAAAACACGGTGAAAATTTTATCCAGTGGGCTCCTCATGTTAGGTCAATCAAAAGGTTGTGTTAATAGTGATATTCGTGGGTTAGTGTGTTGTGAATCTTTTTCACCTTTAGACCTCATTGGTAAAACAAAGAACACGCCAATTAAGTATTCCGCGTTCATCCTCCGTTGAGAAGTCAACGGTCATAGCGGGAGAGACATCAGACGAGATTCCTTACCCTTTTAATTGTAGTCGAACGCCGCGACGCACAAACTGCCACGACAAGCTCTCAAGATGGAAATTGGACAACCGGGATTGTGACTTCGCGGCGCTAAAAAGCACATAACGTTCAAACTGCAGCAACTGGTTTCACATGACCTGCGCAAACCTCAGCAGTACCGAGTTCTTAGACTCAGCAAAGTCAAGATTCTTCAGGACGTGAGGGATTGACCCGTTTCTGAAAGCTTCGTTAGTGGTTGTTGCTCTCTATGTGATAGAAACGAACCAGCAGAAATAACAAAGGGCTTACCTGAGCCAGGATACAAAAATAAGACCCACAACTAGCTTGACGCAATGGGAACCCACTCTCCAAGCCACTTTTCAAGGGCTGTAAACGCCCTAGTTTTCGAACTAGCTCGACCACTCTCACTTGATCACCTTGAGTTTTCGGGCTCCAGTTTCACTGACCCAAACAGCAATATACCAAATATGATAACATGGGCTAACCGAAACACCGGTGCATTACCAACCCCACAAACTGCAGCCGCCAACACAACGCAGACCATCAACTGAATCGTCACAAGCCTCTGAGAAAGCCTTGTTTTCCGATTACACCCAGCATTATTCGTTGTTGGCCACATGCATTACCAAAACCGCCATATAACAGTTTTCTGCAGTTATCTCGAGGTTATCAGCTAGCGGGAAACCGAATTTCACAGTCACTGGACCACTACTTACCCGCGTGCTAACGGCACATCACCGTATACGAAACCACAGAATACCTTCCGCGAACGCGCTTTTCGCTTACTGCGACGTTAGACAACTGCCCTGACCTAGCTGCTCGTGGGGACAGTTCACAAAACACTTCACATGCTGCCTCATCCAACGTTGCTAGATCCTCCAAGTTCGGATGTCATAATGGATACAACGGACTACTGGCAACCTGGCTGATCCAGTGTCGTCCCTTGTGGACTAGGGGTAGCACTTAAAAAATACATTCAAAACACAAAAGCTATTCACTTTACAAGCTGCTAGCTTCAGTCCGAAGATGACAGATACAGTGAAGCCAATCCATGTATCCAACTTTACATGATTATGTTGAGCGTGCTCCCCAACATTCCGTGCCTGCCCCATCCACATCCCACCAACCAGCACGCCTAAAGCAGCAAAGGAGGCATCGTCTGTCACAGTATTCGATGACTCCTCGGAGATTCCCATGTTTCCAATACTAGCCTCACAATCCGTTCCTGGCACTAGGAGTCGCTGCGTTGCTCAAACAGGACGGTCAGCTGCTCCGAAAAGTCGATGCCATCGCGGAGGACTTTCGTCATCTTAGGCTTCGAATCAACCACTCAGTGGGAATAACTCATTATTCCACTGGGACCATCAGTCCTGCTTTCCCCCTCCGAGGCGTGGGGCGAGCTGGAAAGAGACCTGGTGGAAAAACCTTACCAGTTGGAACTGGTAACTCAGTGTTAGTGATGTGGGTTAATTGCTGCAGATGACGTATTTCGGGTCCTTCAGTGCAGCTACCGGCGGGAGACCTAGTACGTTTCTGTGCCTGATGCGTGTTGGCTGACGTATTCACCGTCAACCTGGCCGATTCTTGATCACTGGACCATTTCCCCTTTCGTTGCAATCGATTATGTGCCGTGATAGAAGCGAGGCGATCGGAGGTACGTTGTCAACTGTTGTTTCGGAGACAGTCCTCGCTCACCCAGTTTTTAAAAACCGCGCGAATTGGCCGGAATGTCCGTGGTTAGGACCTGACTTCTGTTTCTCGACATCCCCGCGAATTGGAATGTCCGTGGTTAGGACCTGACTTCTGTTTCTCGACATCCCCTGTCTAGGCTTGGGCAACCTGGCAATATCCCAGCCCCCCCCCTTCCTTCTGGTGGCATGTTAGTTAGGCATTTGCGTGGTCGATTCGGAGTCGATGCTCGTCGCACAGACAACGGAGATCGACTCCTTCAGTTGTGTACTGATCACGAACTGTTTCTGGCAAATACGAACTTTCAACATAAACGTTCGCACCGCGTTACCTGACGACCGCGAACTACAAACCAACCGTGGACCCAGTTGGACCACGTGGCCGTCAGTCACCGGTGGAGAGCCACAATTCAAGACTGCCATTCCTTCTGGGGCACACCACTTAATTGCGATCACGCCATCGTGCGCGCACGCCTGACAGTTCGTTTCCCTTCAGGCCCTCGCACGTCGGCAAGAAAC